TTGGTGCCAAAAAACCCTCGCCAAACCAGAGGTCTTGATCCAATGGGAAAAAGACTAATTGGTACTGAGGGGCCAGTCAAAGTCTCAATTTTATTCCTGTTTTACCCACATATAACAAATATTTTATTGTTGAAAGAGAATGAATACAGTAGACTCGCAACTTACGTGGAGGTTACGTTCCTGGGACTTTCCGTAAAACAAAAAAATGTGTAAAGTCAGAAAAACTCCTCAAAATCCCATAAATGACTATATATATACAGCTCCTCCCCGACTTACGAAGGGTTAGGGACCCAAAGCCAGGTCTTAAGTCGAAATGGTCGCAAGTCGAAAATGCTTAAATACCTGTAGTACAGTCAACCCTCACTTTACGCGGTCCCACATTCCGCGTTTCCACGTTAACGCGGTGCCCTGCCAGAACCTAACGTGCTCACATTAGGCGGTGCGTGAACCCCATTACGTGGAGTGTGTCCGGCGCGACGCTATTTTTAGATTCGCCCCACCCGCCTGCCTGCCTGTGCTCTCGCCTCTCCCTCCTCCTCCTCCCTCCGCTTGGGCAAGCCGCGCGGTAAGGTTGCGCAGTGTGTGTCTTTGTTGCGTTATCACTGACGTCATATGACGTATCGGACTGTGATTGGCCATGCATCCCTACCCCCCCTCTGCTGCTAGCTGTAATTGGCTTAAAGTATTATGACGTGTCCACCCGGGGGAGGGAGGGAGGGAGGGAGGAAAGACGATCCTTAACCTAGCCGCGCCAGTTTCATCCCTCCACGCCAGACCGTGTAAACGTGCATCCATTGTTCTCTAAAATGGCTTCCGCCGGACCACCACCCCCAGAGAGAAACCTTTCCTTACCTGGACCCAGCAGCACTAAGCCAAAGAAGACATGACGTTCCTTAAGCTACGAGGTGAAGTATACCATCATCCAAGAGTTGGAGAAAGGAACAAGGCAGGTTGATTTGGCGCGCCAGCATGGTGTGAATGAATCTACGATTCGAACAATAAAGAAGGATGCAGCCAAGATAAAGGAGCACATGAAGATCACAAAGTCTACAGGTGCTTCTATGATCAAGTATTTTCACAACCAGGTGCTTCTCAAGACAGAAAAATTACTTGTGAGGTACTTGGTGCGTCAGGCGCGACGGAACATGGCGGTCGACACACGCTCTGTTAAGGAGTACGCACGTGAACTGTACATTGCAATGTTACGAAAGATGGGAATTACAGAGCCCAAACCCTTTAATGCTTCCTCTGGGTGGTTACAGAGGTTTAAGATCCTGAACAAGATCACCAATATAAACATTGGTGGTGAAGAAGCGAGTGCTGACCGTGCTGCGGCTAGGGAATTTCCTCCGTTTTTACGTGAGATTATGGAGGAAGGACAGTACAGTGACGACCAGGTGTTTAACATGGACGAATCTGGTCTTTTCTGGAAAAAGCTACCTTCCAAGTCCTTCGTTGTAAAGAATGCCAGCAAGATTCGGGGCCGGAAGATGCAGAAGGAACGCATCACCGTCCTGTTTACCACCAATGCCTCCGGTACCAGTAAGCTCAAGTTATCGGTGATCCACACAGCACGCAAGCCGCACGCCTACAAAACCATGGACATGACCAAGCTAAATGTCCACTGGCTGACCGCACGTAAGGCGTGGATGTTCTCTACACTGTCCCTCTCCTGGTTTGATGACTGTTTTGTTCCCGATGTAAAGAAATTCTGTGAGCGACAGAATGTGCCATTCAAGATTTTGTTGCTGCTGGACAACGCACCAGGACACTCGCCCCTACTGTTAGATCGTCACCCCAAAGTAAATGTGGTCTTCCTTCCTCCCAACACTACGTCTATATTACAGCCCATGGACCAAGAGTTAATCTGTAATGTAAAAGCTGCATTCTCTACGAAAAAATTCAAACTCCTGAACGACTACACCAACACCAGGGAAGAGTTGCGTAACCTGAGTGACACCACCACCGATAGCAAGAGCGAAGAAGATGAGGATCAACAGTTGGCACAGCAAAAAATACTGTTCAAACAATTCTGGAGAATATTTAACATCAAGAAAGCTGTGGACTTCTTGGTGGAGTCATGGGATCAGCTGTCTATTGCTACAATTCGTCACGCATGGAGACATGTGTTGCATGGAATACCAGGTGAGAGGAGGAGTCAATCTGTGACTGGTGAGGTTCAGACTGTTGCAGTAGCAGTGGACCTTGCCAGAGAAGCTGCGCAGACTGTTACAGTTCCAGGCTTCTCCGAGACCACCAACGACGACATCCTGGAGGTGATAATGGAACCTGATGTGACTACCGACGAGATGGTAGATGATGATGACTACGTCAGTGAAGAGGCAGGTGGTGCGTCATCCCAAGAAGAACAACACTTATCCCATAGTAATGTTAGGGGTGCCATCGAGTGTATCGAGAAAGCCAAGCTCCTCCTTTCCGACGACCCTGACGCAAACAGGTATGAAATCTTCACTACCCAGCTGTTGCAGACTATGGAGCCCTACATCAAGGTGTATCACGACAACATCAACACCAGCCGTCAGCAAAGCATAACAGATTTCTTCACCCGCAACCCACCACAGCCAGCCCAAGCCAGTGATAGTGACAGTGAAGATGACTTTGAGGGATTTGTCAGGGAAGCCCTGACAACTGTAAGTGACAGTGATGGTGATGCACCTAGTAATGGTGATTCACCTGAGGGCCAGTAGCTTGCCCTCTGCCTCGGAACCAGCCTCCATCCCCGTACGCCGACCCATCTCTTCTACTAACGTAAGTGTTCCACATAACTTTCAGTTTTCCTAACCTAACCTTTATTTTTCCTATGTTAACCTTTATTTTTCCTAACCTAACCTCTTCTATATTACTTGTTTTTTCATACCATCATAAAGTTAAGATAAAATTTTTACTACAACATAGTTGTGTGTCGTCAAAAAGTGGAGTTTGGGGGTCGGCCGGGACTCTATTTCAATTAATCCCATATGTTATGTTATTCACTTTACGCGTTCCTCACTTTCCGCGGGACCCTGCGGGTTACATTAACCGCGTAAAGTGAGGGTTGACTGTACGTAGAAAATCTAAAATGGGTGTCTCTCTTTCTTCTCAGCATCACAAAACTCTCACTTTTAAGCTTGCCAGCCATTTTAAAGTGAATTACAAACGAAAATTTTGTCTGTACTGACGTTGGGACTCGAAAATATATGATTTGACAAAATTTTGGTACGACTGAGGCAGGTCATAAGTGCAGGTGGTCGTAAGTCGAGTATGTCATAAGTTGTGTAGGAGCTGTATATGTAAATATACACTAGAACTCATAAATCACTACTGTAATGTGATACAGGTGATTAAATTTTATCTCTTGTGCAAAATATATGATGTCTGTATTCAAATTATTCGCTGTCTTGCAAGGATTCTAGCAATGCAAATTATATTCTACTAACTTTAGTCTGTGATATTATATAAGATAAAAACTTTAAGCCTACAACCACCAAACCCTGGCTGGGAAGATGGGGGAGGGAGGGAGAGGTGAGGTGATATGTTTGACAGTTGGTGCCGAAGGTCTAGTGTGTACAGCTCCTCCCCAACTTACGACTACCCGGACATGCGACCGCTTCAGTCGTACCAAAATTTTGTGAAATTACGTATTTTCGACTCCCAACGTCAGTGATCGCGCTGTGTACTGACAAAATTTTCGCTTGTAATTCACTTTAAAATGGCTGACAAACTTAAAAGTGGGAGTTTTATGGTGCTGAGAAAAAAAGAGACACCCATTTCAGATTTTCTATGTATTATTTAAGCATTTTCGACTTGCGACCTGGATTTGGGTCCCTAGCCCCGTCATAAGTCGGGGAGGAGCTGTATTTATTTATCAGTCCTGAAGAGTGACTAAGTTTTTCTCTTATAAAATGTCACTGAACTGACCTAGGAGAATATAATTTACTTTGCTGGGATTCTTATAAGATAGTGATTAATTTGAATATAAACAAGCTATAGTTTGTGCTAGACAAAAATTTTAGTAATTATTTAATACATTATTTTGAGTACATGTACAGGACAGCTTTGCCCTTAGGACAGTGTGTGCATGTAAATGAGTAAAAATAAACCAAGAAAGTTACGTATATTGAGCCAAAAATATTAGTTTAAAACTTTATGTAGACAGACCTGTGTTGTTGTTTTGAGATTATTCATCCCCTTCCAACGTCACCATGGGGGATCATCAAGGTCAGATAACGATGCAGGGGAGGATGTGGGCAGCCCAAGGTCACTGCCAGAAGTTGAGGGCGTTGGGTGATCTGCTGATGATGTTGATGCTGAGGTTTTCTTAAAGAACATGGTGATGGGAAGCTGTCGTTGTTGTTTCTTAAGCTGGTGGAACAAATTCTTATACTGAGCCACAAGGCTTGTTAGACCTCGTGAGAAGTTGATGCTGCGCTCCATCGAGAGATCATACTCGTACAATAAGTTTTTCAAGTGCTCGGTCACCTGAAACACTTCACTAAACTTGTGTAAATCCCAACATGCTGGCTCTTCTTGTTCTTCATCATCACCACCGCCGTCTTTCACTATTTCCTCCAACTCGCCATCAGTCAGAGTTTCCCTGTGTCGTTCAATTAACTCCTCGATTTCCTGCTCGACCATGTCTTCAAACCCATCACCGCCTACAGCCCTGGCCACCGTCATGATGTGCTTAACTTCAGTGTTGATCGTAGGGACTCCTTTGAAGTCATGGACACAATCACTCCACGGTGCCCGACAACACGAATTAACCGACTCTGGTTTCAGTGCACCCATGGCCTCCTTCACAAAAGTGATGCAAGTGGCAATGCTGAATTCCTTCCAGCATGCCATAACACTGTTGTTAGTGCTGTCTTCCATGGCGTTGCGAATGCGAACGAAGGTGAGGCGTGTGTACGCTGCCTTAAAGCACCGAATCACACCCTGGTCGAGAGGCTGGAGGTGATGTTGGGTGGCAGGAACAGTACCTCGATGTCATCGTGAGCGAATTATATGCCATCTGGGTGGCCTGGTGCGTTGTCAACGACCAGCAACACCTTGAAAGGCAGGCCCAGCTTCTCTAGATAGCTCTTTACCTCGAGGATAAAACATTTGTGGAACCACTCAAGGAAAAGCATTCCTGTCACGCAGGCTTTCTTGTTTGACTGCCAGTAGACAGGGAGGAGATTCTTATTTTTTTCCTTCAGAGCACGAGGGTTGGCAGACCTATAAATCATGCCTGGCCTCATCATATGCCCTGCTGCGTTGCCACATAGTAGGACGGTGATGCAGTCCTTTGCAACCTTGAAACTGGGGTCCTGCTCCTCAGACTTGGAAATGTAGGTTCTGGTTGACATTTTCTTCCAAAACAAACCTGTTTTGTCAGCGTTGAAGACCTGCTCTGGAAGATATCCATTTTCCAGAATTCGTCTGGGAACACCCATGCAGCTGCCTCGTCCGCCGATGCCGATTCGCCAGTGATTCTAATATTTTTCAGGCTGAAATGCTTTCTGAAACTGTTGAGCCAACCTGCACTGGCTTTAAAATTTTTCACAGAGCTGGTGGATGCTTTGCCCTGAGGAACCTCAGATTTAAACTGGTCATAAAGACTCAGTGCCTTCTTCCTGAGCATGTTGCCGTCGATGGGAACACGTTTCTGTCTACCCAGATATTTAATGCCTTCTTCACCTTCACTAGAGTTACGTCTCTAGCCTGGCTAGTCACCTTAGCAATAAACGAGGCACTTTTAGACATGGTTTCACAAATTTCCTTCTCCCGAATCTTAATGGACCTCATGCTTGATTCGTTGCGTCCGTACCTCCGTGCCACAGCAGCGACCGACATCCTGCCCTTTATTAAGTCTAAAACGGCCACTTTTTCTTCCAGGGTCATCACAGAGCGTTGTATCTTTGCTGGGGGACCAGAGGCAAAGGTTGGTTTGTGTTTGGGCATTATGAACGAGTATGAGAGAGGTTTAAGCGCACTAAATTGACACACACGAGAGGCAGGTGTTACTCCAACAATACCCACGCGGCAACTGAAGACAGGGAGTTTGGATGGAGGGGGTGGAGCTTTGGCGGGCTAGCATTTAGCGCGCTCACGACCCATTTTGAAAATTTCAAGTTTGAAATTGGAAATTGTAACCTAACCCTCGGGGTAATCCGCGTATAGTTAAAAGCGCGTAAGAAAAATACGAGTAAGTTGCGAGTCTACTGTAATTAGTTAGTCAACATACACATAGTAAACCAACCTTAAAACTAAAGTTGAGGTGTTTAATATACACTTAGCTGGTATCTGAGACTGGGGAAGGAAGGCTAACGTCAGTCGTGCCCCACCCCAGCCTCTCCCCTCCCCCATCACCACTAGATCAAAGCCTTCAAAATAAGTCCTTTGGCAAGCTCAATCATATCCACACTCGTTCTCTTATCCTCAAATGAGTACTTTTTCACTTTCTTCCCAACTCGATACTCACGAGAATTTTTTGTCTTTGTTTTTACCCCATCATTTGAACCGCCTGGGCGCTCAGACAGCCTTTCACCACCACTATCATCCCCTCCAACACCCCAAGTACTTTTGAGGCCATTAATCTGCATGAGAACACAGCGCTACGTGAGTGAGTAAAAAAAAAAAAAATGTACACAAAGGCCAAAGTCACTCGAACAAACAGCAGGAATGTGGATTGAAGCGGTCAAAATGGATGTCTGAACCGCTGACTGGCACTCTGAGCTCAATAAATACTCATCAGTAGCATTAAGCGAGATTTATCTTGCACTTATTATTCTACAATTATTAGTTGTGATTGCATTTAAATTTAAATTCTCAACAAAGGTGAGGGTTTGGTCGCCAAAATGAAGGGCAGGGTACTTTGAATTTTGACAGCCAACTCTGAATTCGTCAAACAGAAAGTCGCCAAACTGGAGGGTTTACTGCATAAAGATTAATTAAATCAAATACACATTGGGTAATAAACAATTATGAATATTTTGTACATATTCTTAATAAGATAACTGAAGCTATGTTTCCTTGAATGCACACATTCCCAATCCATCTCACTTTTTTCTTTAGCATTAGTGGTTCGCTACTTCTATTGTTCCATTTATTAACATTAAATAACATTACTTAAAACATATGATTTTTTTTACATTAATTTTACTACAGCTACAACCAGGGTCTTATTTTCTTCAGTTTCTTATGTAGAACCATCGTCCCTGGTGTAAACACGAATGAAAACAATGGCGTCCCATCTCCTCTTGTGTGACCATATTATTATTCACTTATATTGTATGAAGTGCATTCATAAACAGTATTTAAAGAATATAGTTTTCATTTTTCATAAATTTTATTGTTTTGAGGGAAAAGAGGGAAAAAGCTACACAAAAGATATGAAAAGGTCAGACTTTGGAATGCATCTCATTATTATTGCTTTATTTTAATAGTAATTACTGATTCACGATAAGATAATTCACCTTACACTGCAATATTGGAGGACATATTACCGTCGCTATTCTTGAGGCTTTACTGTAGTATAATTTATTTACAATATATTGTACACACACTGTAGTGGTGTTTGCGTAAATAAATACAGTTCTGTGTCTGTCCGTGCGGGATGCGTAGTTTAGACTATCAGAATGTACAGTACTTTCTCGATTTAACGAGCTAATTCGAGCCACCCGTTCGTTAAATCAGAATTTCCGGTAAATCGAGCTCTTGGTCATTTAAGTATGCTGTACACTGGAGCACCTTAGCTTTCGTCTTTATTCAAGACATCTTCAGAGGCAACTGAATTTACAGGAATGGAATGTCAGGTCATCCTTTCTTGGGTGGGGGATTATTGGGTCTAATGACCTGAATATGTCTTGAATAAAGACAAAAACTAAAGTATTTTTTAGGGAGATTGTGATAAGTATAAATGAGCAAAGTTGTATCCCTTCAACATTATGTTACATAACATTTTAAAATATGAAGAGAGAAAGCAGAAAGGTGTGGATGGTTAGAGAGATGGAATGGAAAAAGAGTGATAAAATGCATCGTGTTGCCAAGTGCTCCTCAACAGCTAATGTTTATTTTGTCTCCAGGCAGTCACACAACAAGACCATCACTGGATGCATGTTGTCTTAATTCCTGTGTGTGTGTGTGTGTGTGTGTGTGTGTCAGGAACACACCTCAACATCACATACACACACCCCGAACACACATCCTCCAACATTTATTATTATATATTCTCGTATGATCAGCCTCTTATAGTGTATGTTTTATCAATGATAATATCAAATACTACTATAGCAAAAATTATTACAGTAACATATCTTGACTAATTAATAAACAACAAATAAACAATATTTTGTCGAGTTACAGTAAGAATGAGAGGCAGGGGTGGAGGGTGAGCGATCAGTGTCTCCCCTAAGGCCATCACTCCTCCACCACCAGGTTCTAAATACAGAACTAAACAAAGAATTTATTTGAAATCCTCTGTAATATTCAATGCCATAATATCCTGACCACTGGGGTTAGTTATTGAGATTTTTCTCTGTTACAAAGCCATAATTTTTAGTAACATATTACTGTACAGTAGGGTCGGGATATATCGTGACTTTATATAACGATTTTTTTATATCGCTGCTACCAAAATTATTGACATTTTCCTATCGTGTATATAGCAATAATCTTTTTTATTTCGCGAGAGAAATCGGGCAGGAAATATTTCAAATGTACCGCCATGGCAAACAAATGCTTTATTTGCTCACCAGAGTTGCCACCGTGGCTGCTCACTCACGCATTCATGCTCGCCCATTCAGTCTTTCTGAGTGAGTGATGAGAAAGCAGCCGACTGCTGCAGATTACGACTTCTAAGGTGAGTGTATATGGGTTTCTAGTGACGTGAAAAGTGAAGTGAATATAATGGAAAGCTTAATGGAAAAAATTTAATACTGTAACTAATATTTTTGGTTTGTTCGTTTATGATTGTTAAGTGCAGGTGGCAGTGTGTCGTCTGTTGTTCTCAGGATGGCGCGTCAGTTGCCGACTCTGCTGCAGATTACAACTTCTAAAGCGAGTGTAAATGGGTTGCTAGACGTGAAAAGTGAAGTGTAGAAAATGGAAAGCTTTAATTGAAAAGATTTAATACTGTAACTAATATTTTTGGTGTTCGTTTATGTAGGTGTGGGATCGTCAAGTGAGGGTGACAGTGTGGCGTCTACTGCCGAGGCTGGTGTTCCCAGGATGGTGCGTCAGCTGCCGAGTTTGGTGTTCCTTGATATTGAAATAGCCTGTTGTTCCGAGTCTAGTGTTCATTGGTGCTTTAGTTAATAAGAAAATGAACTCGTTAAGTCAAGTTTAGTCACTTTTTTGGGACTCCAGAACCTAACCCTATTTTCCCCATTGATTACATGTAATTATATATCGCGATTTGGTATATAGCAAACATCGTTGGACCCTATCTCGCGATATATCCCGACCCTACTGTACTCAAATGTACTAAACTAAAGGACTAAAATTTTGATCTCCTTTTGCAAAGTATGGGATGTTTATATTCCAAAATTAATCACTATCTTGCAAGGATTCCAGCAATGCAAGTTATATTCTGCTAAGTTAAGTCAGTGCCATTTTATAAGAGAAAAACTTTAAGCCTAAAACCACCTTCACCCTCTAAAACCCTTATTGCCTTCTGGCTGGGAGGGGGTGTTGATAGCCAGGCGGGGAGATTACCAAGTGGAGAGCGGAGGGGTCAGGGACTCGGGCTTATACATTAGAGGTGTCATGGTCATAATGACATGGCTAATCTGTTAAAACCTAATAATTCATATTACGCTCCATGCCTACATAAGCTGTAAACCTTTCGTGCCTCCCAGTAGAAACATTCGATCCCTAACCACTTCAGGAGATTTGAGTCCTCCTTTTCCATGTCGCATTACCGGAGAAACTCAGGTATTCCTAAATTCCGCACAGGGTGTTCCCGCATTTGAATCAGTAAGAGAACACCCTTGATTTGCGTCAACTTAAAGATGTCTGATTGCAGATGAAGCATTCAAGATCCGTTGTGACTGATGTTGAAAGCTTCAATTGTATTTACTGTTAGCGTAATTGTCAATATGAGTCAGGCTAGAATAAGCAGTGAGAATGAGGTATCATTGACGTCGGCCCTAGAGATGCCAGTAATTGTTGACCGAGGCTGAAGTCACCTCTTTTTCACATATGAACATCAGAGAATCTGATGTTTATAGTGAAATTGTTGTAAGGATGTTAATTACGAAAGTAATTAATTAACCTGCCCTTCTTTGGGATGGGCTGAGCCAAGGCATGCTTCCAAGAAGAAGGAAAAGCTTGGGTTTTGAGGCAAAGGCGAAAGAGGCGAGCAAACACAGGGGCCAGAACTTCAGATCACTTCCTCAGAATACGAGGGGGTATTCCACCCGGTCCATGGCGCCTTACTCACATCCAACCTGGATATCACACCAGCAACCCTACGAGTGGAGATTATATAGTGCATAGGTTCAGTAGGAGGAGGAGGGATAGAGTTAGAATTGTCTAATGTGGAGTTAGAGGAGAATAAGGTGCCCAAGAGATTGGCTTTATCAGGGGGAGAGTTGGCTAAACAGTTATCAGGTCGGAAGAGAGGAGGAAAAGAGGGAGTGCAGAAGTTATTACAGATGTTATTGGTTAAGGACCAGAAGGATTTACTAGAAGAAGAGTTAGTCAGGACAGTGGTCTTCTCCTTGGCCCTACGAAGAATAGCCTTACAACGATTCCTAGAAGTAATGAGTAATGAAAGAGGATTGGGTAATAGAAGGAGATACAGTAGTTTCATAACTTGATACCCTATCTCTCTCCCTGCATGCAAGAGAACAGGAGCGATCAAATCATGATTGTAAAGTGAAAGATTTGGTAGAAGATGGGGTAAATGCACTCATACCACCCTGTACAACCCTAGCAATGCTGTCAGCACTTACCGAGGCGTCCAGAGTGGAAAAGCAACATTCATCCCAAGGAAAGTCGGAGAAGAATCCTCGCAAGGATTGCCAGTTTACCCTCCGATAGTGCCATAATTGGCATTTAGAGGGGGGTGGGGGAGGTGGTCATGCCCAGTTTGATTTAATAAACATAAGATTATGATCAGAAGACCTAAAAGGGGCAGAAATTGAGTATGAATAGTGTGAGGGGTTTGAGGTAAAACAAAGATCAAGAATGTTAGTAAAGTTGATTATGTTGATCAGGAACACATGAAGGGTGCTTAATTATTTGTTTCAGATCTTTAAGTAAGGAAAAAGAGAGTTGCTCAGCTCCACCTGGGTCATCCCTTGCAGAGCCAAGCCAGTCTCTGATGTACAATGAAATCCCCTAGGTAGAGGATCTCAGTGTTGAGGTATGTGGATAGCAAGGACTCATGGCAAAAAGTGAGACACTCAGCATTCTAAATAGTTGGGAGTATAGTATAGGAAACAAAGAAAAATAGTCATAGTTGATAGAGATATTTTGAGCCAGATGACATCATAAAGAGAAGATTCAAGATCCATGAGTCGAGCCATAGGAGTAAATGTGATGCAGTAGGCGTATACACCTCCCTTAGAATGGAAAGAGGTATAAAGGTTGTAGTTGGAGACTTGAAAAGGTTTGGGTGAAGCTGCTTTGGTCAGTTGAAGTTCAGAGAGAGAAAGAGAGATCGTGTACGGGACGTGTGTGTAAATCTATCCGCCAGCCAGCCTCCCACCAGTCGAGAGGTCTGGGTGAAAAAATTGCTTTATAATTCGGCTTGTCATATAATTTCCATGTCAAATTATTTATCACATTTTTTCTATAGTGTTTAATATTTTATATTATCAATGATAAAACATACACCAGCCAGCCTCCCACCCTCTCTGCCTGCTCTAGATGTTGTGGTGTTGGGGTATTAATTAATGAATAATAATTGACCTAAGGTTAAAAATGCTTTGAAAGCATTTGAGGTAGATGTAGAGTAGATGATTAGTGGGTCTTATGTTTTTGACCTGACCTGTTGTTATGTCATCCATTTTTTGTATAAGCTCTTCTTTTGTTTGCGGTGGAGGTGGTGTGTGGATTAGTGGGTCCCATGTTATTGACCTCACATGATGTTATGTAAGGTCACTCATTGTATATAAGCTCTCTCTCAGTCCCTGTAAATTCAGTTGCCTCTGAAGCTGTCTTGAATGAAGATGAAAGTTAAGGTGCTCCAGTGTTTTCCTTTTCCTTTTTGGTTTTATCAAGTACAGTATAGTCTGCATTTACGTGGTGCCTTGCCAGAATGAAAATGCTTTAATTACGCGGTAAATTTGGTCATTTACGCGGCAAGCAGCTGGAGAAGTCCAGACCGCTGCGCCATTTTTTACCCAAGCGGTCCATTCTTGACCATACGCGGGAAGCGGCGCGGTGAGCAGTGCGCATTAGGCTGCTCTTACGCAATCGCTGGCGTCATATGATGTATCGGACTGTGATTGGGCCACGCATCCTTACCACCCACGCATTCCCTCCGCCGCTAGCTGTGATTTGTCTAATGTAACATGACGTGTCCTGCCACCAGAGGGTAGAAGTCGCTGACCTAGCAGGGCCTGTCTCAATTGTTCTCAGTCCGCATATACAGTTCTCTTTTGTGCCCGCTATTCCCCTCACAACTCACAATGGGTTCCGCGGGACCCCAACCACCAGAGAAAAACATTGAATTACCTGGACCAAGTCATGATAATGTGAAGGAAATCATCGAGTTGGAGGAGAAACTTGAGCTCATCCTTGACAACGACTCAGACAAGCATCGGTATGAAGCGTCTAATAACCATCTGACAAAAGTTATGGAGCCGTATATCCAGATCTATCTCGACAACATCAATGCTAGTCGTCAACGTAGTATTGAGGACTTCCTTGCCCGCAACCCACCACAACCACAGCCAGCCCAAGTCAGTGATAGTGATATTGACAGTGAGGATATGGACTTTGAGAGGTTTGTCTGGGAGGCCCTGCAAACCTCTGCGAGTAGTGAAAGTGATTCACCGGAGGGCAACTAATCTGCCCTCTGCCTCAGAACCAGCCGCCATCCACGTGTGCCGACTCGGCTTTTCTACTAACGTAAGTGTTCAACGTACGTATTGTGTCGGAAAAAGTGAGGTTTGGGGGTCGGCCCAGTCTCTATTTCAATTAATACCATATGCTTGTTATTTCATTTACGCGTTTCTCGTTTTACACGGTACGCCACGGGTTCAATTGACCGCGTAAAAGCAGACTATACTGTATGCTACTGGTAACGGTTTCTTAAATATTCCCTGCTAAAATGGGGGGTGCATATTATATGGTGTTTTTTATATAATTATTTGTCGTTTTTATACATTCAATGTAAAGCATAAATTTAAGCTGTTATTTACCTGTGTTGATGGTAGAGACTGTCTAGGGTAGCAAGTTCAAGTCTCTATTGCTCTTTGCTGATATATCACCACTCTTATTATGCCTTATCACATCAAGTTGCCAAGCACAAGTGGAACTCTCACTGGGGTGTTTAGGTATGATTGAGTAACTCACCAAGTCAGAAATAACGAAAAAACACGAAGTCATATACGCACATAGTAAGTGTAAACAAGAGCAAAAATGATAGGAATGAGTTAGAGGCAGTGCGCAGAGCTCTCTGGAGGCAAGAATTTACACCATGTTAGCTTTGCCAATCGTCGAATCTCTGGGGTATCAACGAAACTTGCAGGGTATTTCCCCTATGTGTAATCGTTGGTTATGTGAATCGGTGGTCAACGGGACGTCGGTTATTGGGGCTCACTTTTACTTTTTATGTATCTTTAACTGTACATGTTTCATACAAATGTATCTAAAAGTTAATTTTATGTAATGCCACAATCTGGGCTCCATACTGCTCAAAATTATGTACAGTATCTTTAGTAATCCAAACACTGCTTAGTCCCAACTGTTCAGATTTTTTAGCTTTGATTGTATGTATTATGAAATGTAAGAGATCTACAATAGTGATTACTTTTAGGAATTTTGGTGCAGTTAAGAAATCCTTACAGGGCATTAATAAATTTCCACTAAATATGTAACACATACAAGAATATACCTTGTTAAACACTTTGGTATTTTATGGATCATGTAGTACACTGCATAAACCATAACTTAAGATTATCAATGGCAGTAATGTAATTATGAAAAGCATCACTGCTGTACAATATAAGGGAAAAATTTGAACTCTGTGCTTCCAGTAACCTCAATAATACTTTTTTTTTTTAGCTTGTCCACCCATGAGTCCAGAGTTTTTATCCACCAACCATGACAAGGTTTAAGTCCTGTACAAGACAACTGGAATGAGGAAAATCTTGGAAATTAAGGGAGGAATTAGAATACTGTACCCGTAATAATCAACCTGTAACTACCAAGTTCCATGAAATAAAATAAAAGGAAGCTTAACTAAATAAACCCCAGTTTGTACAGATTGAATTACTGTATTATTATTATTTATGTTTTTGCTGCATTACAGAGAACACCTCACCTGATACTGTACATTGAAGTTGACTTAGTATTCCATGACTAGCTATGTTTTGTTCTGTTTTCTACAGATCTTGTAATTCTTAGTATTCCTTGAATGTTGCCAACCTAATTTCTTATAGTGTGGCAACATTTACGCAGGACCAGCCTGTGAATAAATAGCATTGTTAATAATCTAACAGCAATTATTAGTTTCCTGTGGAAATTTAACATTAAAAAAAACTAACCTAACCATATCTAACCTGAAAATTAGTTTTGACAATCTAAAGAAAAGAAATTCATCGAAAAAGGAACCATTCACATAGTGCGGCGGTAGAAATGGTCAGAAAAAGTAGCTTTCAGGAGGGGGTCAATGAATTTCAAACTGATTCTGTTGTCTCGCTAGGGTTGGTAGGTATGATTGCGAGACATTTCTTTCCTATTATCATAGGCCTAATTTAGTTACAGTATTTCATTTGAAACAGAAAATTAGTTCATTGTTATATGACTGGTGAATAACAGTATATGCCTCATGAGCCTTTATCAAAAACCTTCGTTCGTGGTGTAAATCGGTTTTGCACAAGAATTGTACTGATTTTTTCACCAAGGGTACCAGCTACTGCTATAATGTCATATACCTGTACAGTAGTACCACAAACAGGTATCCCTGATTTAGGAAATTCTCGTTAACGTTTGTTAGGTTTTAACATCCTCTCACGATTTACATTAAGCTAATTCCACGTTAACAATAGCTATCAGGAGGCTAAACTTGCTGATGCAGATTATAAACACTGGGTTATTGCATCTCTCCTTCCACTTGTTAAAGCCAGAAAGCAGAAACTGCTTTTCCATCCTCAGCGCAGTTCACCTGACGGCCACCCTGCATATCTCGTTTCCACGGTTTGTTCCAATGTGATCGCAACTGCTCTTGGTTGTGTAATCAACATTATTGCAATTAATCATAGTATAACCTTGTGATTGCTGTGATATTTGCCATTATTGGTGAGAGGAAAACACCATTGTTCCAATTTTGCTCTGTTTTGGTGAATATGAAGTGATTAATGACTTGGAAAATGACTAGCAAGCGTCCTGCTTAGTCTCCAGCCTCTGGGAAAGCCAAGGCTCCAAGGAAGACTCTCTGTCTTTAGATGCTGTTAAGCATCAGGCTTGTTATTATTAATGTGGTGAGTGTTGTTTAATTTTCTATTTATTTAATTAGAATAGGTTAGCTTTTACTGTGATACATGTTAATGTCGGACAGGCCAGAAACATATCCCATTGAAACCCACGTTAAAAGGCTCCCAATTTCGTGGCAGGACATTTGGCCGACGGACGTTTCACAGACGAACATTTGACAGAACTAACAATAGACCGAACGGACAAATGGCTGAACGGACATTTGGCTGAATGGACATATGGCCTTTTTAATTTTTTTTGTTATTTTCCTTTCTTCTTTGCAATGTATTTTTGTACATTTACTAAAGGATAAAAGATATTAATTGTAATGTAATTGCTTTATAAAAATTGCTTCAGTCTTGTGTTTAATATCCGGTAGTCGTCGGAAATAATCAGCATTATTCAGAAACAATCAGCATTATTTTCCCCAATTTCAATTTAATTAGTGAATTACAAGGACTGAGAGAGGTTTATGTACACAGGGTGACCTTACAAAACATGAGGTCAGGTCAGAAACATGACATCCACTAATCCACACACCAACACCACCACAAACACAATAGAAAAGGCGACATAAGTAGTCATGTTAAGTCAGGTCAAGTTTGTGAAAGAATGCGTGTTCAAACTTTTTAGCCACGCCCCAAACCAACCAAACGTTAGCCCTGCTTGCCTGGACTCTGATGCAGTCGCTCTTCATTAATTTCATAAGATATAAAAGCAAATATGGGTTAATATTCCTCTATATTCCAATAGCAATTTAGGATTTTTTACCATTACCACCAGGATTCTTTTAGGTATTATTTTAGTTTCGGTCATCTGGTTATGTTAGGTTAGAATAGGTTAGATCCATACTAAGTTTTTTCTGATGGCTTTCTATGTGTTTTGATCGATTTGGACCTTAATATGTCGGAAATGACTATTTTTTGTGATTTTCCCCCACCTAAACCCCGTTTGGATATCTAAATACAGTGATATCTCAGTTAGCCGGAACAATTGGTGCAGAGCACTTTCAGGAATGAGATTTCCGGGTAACAAGACGACTCTCTCAAAGCCGGATAAAATCCCCCATCCCTGTAATTTTCTGGGTAACGGAAAAATGTTCTCAGAAGTTCCAGAAATTGCCCAATACATCATCTCTCAAAACTGGAAAAACATCCCCCATCCCCGGACTAATCCAGAAATTTCCAGGTACAGTACGGCCAGATAATTCGCACATTTTAATTTTGAGGTCCTCTATTATTCGCTGATGACACCCTCTATGTATCCAGGAATGTCTGTGGGTAATTTTACAGTTGCCGTCATTTTCGTTACCGGGACAGGGAGCCATTTGTTCTAGAGACAGTAATTTCTTTTACCTGTATTGTGTATATGTGTATATATATATATATATATATATATATATATATATATATATATATATATATATATATATATATATATATATATATATATATATATATATATATATATATATATATATATATATATAAATTTCATGTGTGTGTGTGTGTGTGTAGACATGCACACACAAAATGCAATCAAGTAAATAATAATGGGAAAATCCTCACAAATAATCAGAAACAAATTTAGTATTAAAAATGTTGAGTCTACCCTCAAGTCTACTCAGTGATTTGTTATTAATAAAGCATGGAGTAGACTTGAGGGCAGACTCAACATTTTAATACTACATTTGTTTCTGATTATTTGTGAGAGGATTTTCCCATTATTATTTATCTGTGTTTTGTGCGTGTGTGTCTACACACATATATACAGTATATCGTACTGTACAATGCAGTACAGGTAAAAGAAATAATTGTCCTAGAGCAAACACATAAAGGGATTATACATTTCTTTGTACACAAGTAAATATGTACCCCCACCGGTCAGCAAATGTTATTTGTGGATTTGGCAATTCGTGGCCATTATGAGAACCTAACCCCCCGAATTTAAAGGACCTACTGTACTGGAAAAATTTTCTCGGAATTTCTGGAAACTGCTTCTGATTTTCGTCTCTCAAACCCGGAATTTCCAGAAAATGTGCCCCTCGGAAAATCGTTCCCAAAGCCGGAATTCTCCGGAAAATTCCGGCCTTGAGAACGATTTTCCAAGAAAATTTCAATTCCGGCTTTCGGAGAGATCCGGGTTGAAAAATTTTGGCTAACGGAGATATTACTGGACTGTGATGACTGAAACTGAAACTTTACCTTCGTTTTTAGTTAGAAATCTATTTTCTTCTATAGCGTTTCCGGTGCAAATTAATATTTTTTTCATTTTAACTGATAAAATTGCACACAATATTAGTTGTTGAAAGTGGACAGGGCTTCGAAGTAGAGGGAAAATGTAGAGTAAAATACTAACACGAAACAAACCTTTAAAAATCTTATCAAACCCATACAAATGTTAAAACTATAAAGCTCTTACCTTATTCTTGTTTTTGGTGCTTAATGTGTTGGTGTAGTTTTCGATGTTCAGATGAGGAGGGGATACATGGATTCGAAAGCAATGTTTAACCTTTTCAAAGGTTAGGTTAGGTTTTTCAAAGGTTTGTTTAGTGTTAGTATTTTACCCCACATTTTCACTCTACTTCAAAGCCCTGTCCACTTTGAACAACTAATATTGTGGGTAATTTTATCGATTAAAATACTCGAAAAATATAAATTTGCGCCGGAAACGCTATAGAAGAAAATTTATTCCCAACTAAAAAAGAATCCTAGTGATAATGGTAAAAAAAATTGGGTAATTATTGAAGACTACACCACCACTGATTTTTCATAGAAAACATTTAAAAACACTGCAGTTTCACTGTGTTTTATAGTGGACACTGTGGTAGTTATGGAAAATGTGTTAAAAGTGTTTATTTAAAAGTTCAACTTAACCTAACCAGTTAATATTGACGAGTGACCTGCAGACGAGGTGTGTGTTTTACTGTTTATTTTCTTATTTTATTTTCATCAGTGAGTTCTGATAAGTAAGTTGGCTTGAAAATGACAAGATTAAACCCAGTATTATACTTTTATTTATAAACATCTTTCTAAGAAAGTACTTTTGTGAAATTGAAACGGGTTTGTGTGCAAAGTCTATTGTACAGTATATGACGTATTTCAAAACACTCTGCCGTGCAGGCAGGATCAGAGCCGATGCTCTCATGTCCACAAAAAACGTAAAATTACACCATATCATAGCGAGTTCTTTCTGTTTAATATACAGGGGGGTCCGATAGGGAAGTTAGGTAGGTTTGTTTGGTTAGGTTGGTGAGGTCTGTTTTTCATACCCACTAAGGTTAGGTTAGGTTTAATTTAGAAATAACCACTTTTTAACACATTTACACAAACTACAACAATGTCCACTATAAAAAAGTGAAATTGCGGCATTTTTAAGATCGTTTTCTATGGAAAGTAGGCCGTGGGTTAGTCGTCAATAATTACCACCTAACCATAAAATAAACTAAATTAACCTAACCAAACAAAAGAAAAAACGAATATGTCAGAACTCACTGATGAAAATTTAGTATGAATATAAACAAAAAAATAATACGTAGGCGGTGTAGTCGTGGATATTAGCCAAAATACATCTTGGGATAAAAATGTATATTAACCCAATTATGTTCTATGGTGAAATATCGTACAGTATGTAGTTAAGGCGTGCAATTGAGCCAGATTATATCCCAAACATCATCAAATATTACCAACAGCAATTACCATCTATGGTGAAATGTCAAGTTGGTGGTTTAGGTATACAAGGATATTTACATGTTGAGTTCGTCAGTTTATTCAGTATAATCAGTAGGAAGAAGTTTTTAACTACCGTTAGCTTTCTCATGAATAATCCTAATACTGTATTAACCTGTTTCCATTCAACAATTTGATAACAAAAAACTCCAGTAATCATTGGCAATATCTTTGTGCATTAATAACACACTTACCAAACACTACAGTAAAATACATACACCCTCCTTTATATATTATTACACACTACATTTACAAACAGCAAAAGGTCAAAGACTTCTTACATGAAGTTAAGAAGACAATAGTTACCATAGTTTGACACCAACATATAATTCATTTTACTGCAAGGCCATATTGCATGACTGGGACATGTAATCTCGTGATTATCATTAAAGTACCTAGGATCATAATCTCACTTCACAACAGCTGGACATATTACCTCCAGGAGAGAGATCTCAGCCGGGCCTGACAGTGCCACCAACCCACCACTGTTAAGGTTTACCTTTACCGAGTACCGCCAACTTGGTTCTTATCTCATTATATATAAATTATTATCAATATGAAAAATTTAAACAATGACTTATTTATTGTAATTATTTCATATTTAAAATTACCAAAATAATACAATAGAGGAGAGAAATAAGGATAATGCGTAAGAAGTGCGCAGACGCCCCGCGCAGAGCCTGAGGTAACCAGAAACAAAATCCCAAACTACTTCAGTTGTCATTGATGGCCAGGCTGAGGGGGTGTTCCTTGTTAGCGTGTGTTGCGGCCAGATAGTATTTCTCCCGGAAAGTTTATTGAACAGAAAAGTTACTGTTACCTTAACCGTTTGTATATGACAAAGGTCATACCTTATGGAGGACTGTTACTTGCATCCAAGAGGGAATATATTAAAGGACACAGGATATTACTTAGCCTTAGGATTTTGTTGTGATTTTAAGAAGTCTTTTTGGATGAAGACAGTCCATACTTAGGCGTTTACCTGCGTCATTGGAAAAAATCCTTCATGACAGTACGTGAGTGGTGCGACAGAGCCGTTTCGTGTGGTCCCTGGTGTTGGAGCGTGGCTAGATGTGTAACATGAGCGAGAAGGAGGGAGAGGAGCGGGCGCCGCTCATTGAGGAGACGTCGCAGCTGCTCAACCCGTTCGTTCATCGACTCGAACTGAACACCGCCTATGACAAGTTCAAGGTCAGGTCAAAATCTTAAGTGTAACATCCATTCCCTCAGTATATACACTGTAAATACACAATTGGTTTAGTGTCTTGAATTTTGAACACTAGAGGTGTCAAATGCATTGCAGACCCATGTGATACCTCGTTGCTCTCTAAGCAATAAGTGTTGAGTAACAATCCACCTAAAACATTTACCTTAATTAAGTTTACCTAATATTCTTAACCATAGGCCACTAGTGTCATAAGATGATAAGAATGGAGGAAACTGCAGCTGGCCTATTGGCTAATACTGGGCAGTCTCACCATGTACACAAAACAAAATACCCTATACATTCATATCTTTGATTCACACACACCATTAACCTAATCTATATACAGTAGGTTAGGTTAATGGACAATACAGTGTAAATATCCCAGTAGACCAACTCGGTAGACCGTATACTATAGTAGCATCCAATTATTATAATATACAGTACAGTACATAATTATTACACGTACTATCATGAACACGGACACCTGTGCACACACCCTTACACTAACTACCTAGCCGTGGATGAGTGCTTAAGCCCCGGCACTACATACGTAATTGTAATTTATTGAATTAGTGGATGACCTTTTCTTCGGAGTTTAGTTATCCATTGCAGTCAAACACATCTCAGACCATCCTGCTAAAGATAGATGCGCTTGAGTAATAAAGCTGGATCATTACATAATGCCTACACGATATAATACTTGAGAATTAATTTCCAGAATGAATGTAAATGCTCAATATCAGACAATGAGTTTATAAATTGATCAAATGGTCGCCAGTCTTGTTAAGCCCCAACCCAGCCATTGAGATTGAGCCCCCGAGGGTTAAGTTGTAATCTTATTCCTAATGGGCGCAATCCTAATGATGATGTTAGATTAGGGGCCATTTGACAAGCATTAACACCGATCATCTCCATCCGATCTCTTCCTATACACAGTGAACGTAAGGGTAATGGGGGATACTACCATGATGCTGCACTGTTTTCATCCCCTTTCTGCTTTCGGTCCGTTTCGACTTGGAAGATTGCCAATAACCAGTTCAGCTCGTATCATCTCTACTGGCTGCTCACAGATAACTCGAGAAATCATTGGCCCGTATAATGTTCAGAGAAAAAACGTTATAGATTTTAGTTATGTACGCATACGTGTAAACCATAATGGCATGTGATTTTATTGCTGTCGTAAAATACAAATATTTTGGTCATAAGGTCTTGTTTCCAAGGAAAGTGATAAAATGTAAATTTGAATCTTTTTTTTTAGATAGCCTTGTTAGAGGGCAGAGACCCAAATTACTGCATTGTACATCCATTTTTAACCAACTGTAGAAATGTGATTGATTCTGATTTAAGAACAAATGCACCTCCAGCCGATCAGTGGCGAAGAGAATAAAAGTAAAAAGTAAATTAAGCGAAGCCTTGTTGGAGCTTAAGATTTTAAGGTAACATTTTTATGCTTGGGTCTTTTCAAAAATTACGGTAATGTGGTCTTTAAATTGTTATATTTTAATGTCAAGGAGCGGTTGAGTCGTAGGTTGCAGTTATTGTTTATGTACATACAGTGCGTGGCTTCCCGTCTGGACTTGAAGGTAAAGCTCTCGCAGTAACTTTTATTAACTATTTTCACCACTTTTACTCACCGGTGTAATGGTCTGAGAGCTCTCCCGTGCTAATAATGAGCATGCGCGAAAAAAGGTCAATATTTGGCCGGTCAGAGCTCCATTCATTACTTGCTTCACGTGGAGACGCATATTCTGATCATGGTTATAATTATGTAATACGTATTTATTTCTGTAAATAATTTTTGTGATCCAGACGCAATTGGATTGGGAAAACAGCTGTCTCCACTGTAGTCCGCCGCATGGTTTGGCTAAGGGGTGCGCTCAGGCTCGATGAGCTCATCGTCAAATGGGTGAGCCAAGAGCTCCCAGAGCCCTAGACTGCTTGTACAGCAGTCTGGGAGATCCCCATCGTCTTTGCGCATGCACATTGCAAAGGGATCACTAAGACTGGGGAGATCTCAAAACGTGACACGTATATCTGCTAGAATCCATGACAGTTGTGTGAGATACGCCCTTTACCACTATACCACCGATCCTCTATGTACTCGGGTTGATGATGTGCCGAACGGAGATAGCAAGGGTGGCTTGTTTTTCAGTGGGATGATCGTGGGTTTTTATAATTGAATAAAAATAATTTTTGAAATACAAGGTCATTGGGTAAAACTACAACAGGGGCATCGCTAAGGTAGCTTGTTTGGGGATACTGTTTGTAGACAATTTACTTGTACGTACTGTTGCGGAAAACCATAGATTCTTGGCAAAATCTGGCATCGACTTGAGACTCGCGGGATTAAATATGAATAAGAACCTGAAGAAACACTTAAGACAAAGAAAATATGAGAAAACAGACGTTAAAATCCCATTTTCTTATATCTGTTATTTGCAGCTCCTCAACTAGAAGCAAGATACTGTAATAGTATTACCAATTTACCATTAATGCCGAAGAAAATTTGTTTTTACCTGTATTGTACTTATATTTCACGGATACCGCTGTCAGAACTGGGAAAAATTACTCGGGAAACGCCTTCGGCGAGATAACATATCACTGTTTGATTTTAGCGGGAACGAGCCACTGAATAGACATTATTCAGTGTTGATTTTTGTCAATTCGCTAGAGTACCTGGAGTGGAATTCACGAACTACTTCCTGATACCGCCTTTAGAGCGATTATGGGTAACGAGACCATTCCCCTCTTAGTATTTCAAATAATAAGTCATATGTAGGTAATCATACATAAATGTCTGATTGTCATATTTCCATGATATCACAACGATAAACAATACAATGGACACAGTAAGTTGAACTTACGTGTTAAGAGTCTCAAATAAATAGGTTAGGTGTTCACCCTATTACGGTAAGAGCTAGTTTATTTTTTTAGATTGCCCCCGAGGGGGCTAGTTTATTGGGCACCCCCTTACATCCTGTGCAAGGTGAAACGCAGAAGCAGCGTTTACAGCGCCCATCTGGGAAGCATACATAATTCATGCTTGCCTTTATGACTCATGCATTAAGGGTGTAAAAGCCTGAAGGGTCATGGGTTTTGTCCGCAAGTTACATAAAGTGACAGAATGATGAGTGTGTGGGGGGTAAGTTCCCGGTACAATTTATCTGTTTATGGCAAAGCCTGTCTCCAGGAGGAGGGATATCTGGTCAGGGAGAGAAGAGCTGTTGGTAACGGCTGGGGACCTGTAGGAGGAGGTCATAGGGCAAGTGAGGATGTAGTGAGAGTTGGGTTGACCACAAAGTTTACAAACAGTGCGGTCAGGCTCAGGGTTGCCAATGTACTAGGCGTGGCGAAATACAGTGGGGGTGGAGGTGATATGGTGTGGTGGGACAGGTACATTAGCGGTGGAGGAAGGCACATAGGTAGTGGCAATATTGAGGGACATGCCTTTTAATGTGATTGTGATGGTGTGTGCGTCGACATGCCGGTGGGGTACGGGTAGCCAGGGGTGGTGTCCTCAGGTCCAATAGGTAGCCCTGGTGGAGACAGCACAGACACAGTAGCGGGCGCGGCTTGTGGTGGGTGGAGGACAGGTTGAGGCACCACGTGTCGTGAAGATGAGGCAGGACTTCGCTCGGGGGCAGCAGGACACACCAGGGCAGGCCCGGTAGGAACTACACCAGTAGTGAAGGCCGCCGGCGGTGGAGTAGGCCGTGAGCAGGGGGCTCACAGGGGAACAACTAGCTTTTGTCAAACCAGAAGAGAGGAGTGACTGGGTGGCAACAGAGGGCAAGAATAGGTCGGAGATGGTGGTACAGAGTGTAGCGAAGAGTTTTTCAATACAGTTGGTAAATTCTTGGAAGAGGGATATGATCTGTGTCATGTCACTGGAGGGGAGTGGTGGGGGGGGAGCACAAGGCCTGAGGAGAGGAGACCCAGAGTGTTGAAGCCACTCGTCTCATGCCTGGGCTAACACGTGTCGCAGCGTCAGGCCTTTTATAATACAAACAAGTCCTTCCTTACCACTATACAACACCATCAGTATTTCTTGTCTCTGTAACTTCACTACTAATACTGTACATAAGGTCAGGCACGCCCACTAAACATGTCATGACTCTCAACTTAACATAATGTTTGTTCAAGGGTTATCCTTCTAGAGTTATCCTACTTGAGTTATCCTACGAGAGTTATCCTAATCATTACTGTTTGTGTTAACACTTCTTTTCCGAAATGAAGTCCGTCTTTCATGGCACTTCCGACACAGGATCCGTAACATTCAGGTAACAAATACTGTACAGTATTATAATACCTGATATTCCCATCTTATTAATTGTGCCCCTGTTTTAAAGTGCAGTACTTGTATTAAGTTGCCTCTAGGTTATAGTTTTTATTTTACTTATTTTAGCTATTTTTTAACACATTTTGTTCATTGCTTTGGTGTTATCCATGTCGCCAACAAAACTTAAAATCTTCGTTTACCCTTCAACGTACTTTTCGGTAATATTTTCATTATCCACCTCCTATCCTTCCTGTTTATATACGCTAGTCTTGTATTATCGGATTTTAGAGATGAATTTGCTTCCTTTGGTTCCTGCTGTTGCAATCTTTCGAAGCGTAAAATTAGAATGCAAACATTTAGTGAAAAAAAAGTAATGATTTATTGTAATGATATTCATCGGGATGTAAATAAACCTAGTGACTTTAAGCTCCCTCATGGCTCTCAAAGTGAAATCGGGGTACACACATTCCACGAACAGTGTTACCAAGTAGAACTCTGGAAATACAAGGTATTTTGGTGTTGTTTTCCGGCCCTGAACTTGACAAAAATATATATATTTTCTGTTGTACTATGGTTAATAATAACCTAGGCATGTCACTGCATCCATGCAATTCGTAAACATAAGATAATTATCTGAAAACTTGTACTTTCTGTCAGTTGGTAGCATTGCGTGGTGGGTGCATCGACATGGTGCACTGCGTCGGG